AGTTGGCTGATAATTTTATGACTTCAACTCCAAGATTATATAGCTATATAAAAAGGTCGGAGACCAATGAATATAACGAGTGACGAATTCTGCAGTCCGGAGATAGGATTTGAGTTTAATCTCCCTCCACACTATATTATTGTTATTATTATTATAGGTACAGTGGTGATGACCCTTTTATATAAAATATAAATCATATAATTCAAATAGCAGTCGACGCGATAACGAGCGTATATGACACGAGACAATACCAGATAATAAACTATATTTATCTATATACTTATATGCCCTATACGGCTTTATATTACTCAACGTAAACACACGCTATTGCATGTGTGTGGAGTGTGAGTCCGCGTTGAGTTTACCGTGGACAACCGCACTTATTATGGGTGTAGCATTTTTAAAGAAAAAACCTCGACGCAAATAGTGACCGTTTTGCGCTTGTGTTTCGCAAAGTCGATGCTAACCCGATAGGACGCACATTTCTTGCGCACGGTAGCTGCAGATGTATATTACCGACAACCAGGTCAACGGACTGGTAAGTTATAAAGGTATATAAGTGTATGTATGTGTGTGATGCTGACTAAGCGTAACACGGGCCCGGGTGTAAATAATTACGAGCGCTCACCCGGATCCATGCATATATATCATGTTGTACATTTATATAATCTACATTATTCGCGCACAATATCTGTAGAATCCAAAATATTTGCATAAAAATCAAACACGAGGACTTTACCCGTGGTTTTAAAAATTCAAATATTCCTCCCCCGACTTCCACGATAGCTGTTTCCCCCATGAACTAACCATAGCAGCACGTCTATTTATTTAAAATCAAACGACGCGAACGTTAAATATATATATATATATATGTAATATATTACATGAATATATTATTATTTAGAAAAACCGCGACAGCCGCGGCGGACACGATCTTTACCGTTAACCACGGGACATGCGCGCGAGAGACACGTCCATATATTATTATTGTATTATTTTTATATATACATAAACATATTGTTTGGGTAACGTTTAAGCAGACCACGTTTTATCTAAAAGGTACCTAATTGAAATGTTCTTTGTTCGCATTTTACATTTACAATGTACAAACAACGAGAAAATGAAAAATGCAGAGAATCGGCTTCAAGAAAACGTCCGTCATATATGAACATAATATAATATAATAATATATACAATATAATTACAGTAGATATACAGGAAATACACAGTACATAACTCAGATCACTGCAGTATCACAGTGTTAGAAAATGAAATAATTATCATACTATAATGGAATATTAGTTAAGATTTTATAATATATTTTAATCAGATTTAAAACTCGTGCCCAAAAAAAAATTACAAAAAAAAATTATAAACATTTACTAATTTTACATGCCGTCAGAAATAAATAAATATACCCCAATTCAAATAAAAATAATGATTTAGGAAGATAAAAGTGCACGTTGTTGAATAAAATAAAATAACTTAATTTTTTTTTCTTTTTTGAACTAATTTATTTAAAAACGTGAAGTGAAAACTCTTTTTTACTTCCTAATATAAATAAATACACGACAACTTAGATTGTATGGGAATACGCATAAGGGAAACGAACGATCTTTACCGTTAGCACGTGACCATTATGTTACATATGTCACATCAGGATCAAAGATCCACGGTTTATGTTGATATCAGTATATGCGTCTATAATAATGTATGTATTATAATTATACTATATGCTAAATCAGTGAGTTGTGTCATTGTATGAACCTATTTTAATATAATATTATGTAACAAAATTACCATTTACTATAATCATACCCAAATAGATAAAAGTCACTTTAATAATAGACTATAGGCCTTTAAAAATCGATTCTATAAGTAAATAATTATAGTAATTTTAAAACGGGTGCCTACTATGTGCATTGTACAATCAAGAGTAAACAGAAGCAGTCGTCTCGAACCGTCACAATGAAGAAACCTTTTTTTTTGATTTTAAAATTTTTACAAAAATAATGAGAGGTACATTGCAGTACACACATCAAGTATTTATCTGACATTTTTTATGTGTCTATGGGCATATATAGATACTAGGTAGGTATTAGGTACTCATTTTGATTCGCATCTACCGAATAATAATTTTTGAAAACTGGGTGACTCGGTCATTATGGTAATTTGTTAACCGTTACTTCCAGGGGATGTATATATATGGTTAATTTAGTTAATAATCAAAAGTAGTATTTTTTTACCCTATACGCAAACATAAACATTCGAGTCAGTTTGAGGTCGTGATCGAAAAACTCGTTCGAAATAAATGGAATTATTTTATTTGTCGAATCCAAATTTAATTTGCCGACAACAATCGTTTACAACACCGACGGCTTTTAAGTGCATACTGCATATATCAAACAAACAAAAAGAAAAAAAAATAACCAAAAACCGGCTGCCGACAAGGACCAGTTTTAGGCACGTTCAAGCCATAACTGCACATTCGTTATTATATTAAATACACACAGGGTACCAATCCTAACTACAAAATCTGCTGTACCTATATATTTTATGTGGCAGATTATAATAATTGATCAAAAATATTTTGCTTATTTTTTTTTTTAAGCCTAACTTTACTGTACTTACTATGTATATTAAATTGAAAAAAAAGTAAAAGCAATTGTAACAGATAAAACACTATTTTTTTTAACGAATAATAGTATTACTATATATAGGTCTGTTACGAATAATTTATATTTTATTAAAATTTTAAAAATTATAAATATTAAGAAGAAAGAAAAATAAAAATAAAKTGTATTGATTAATTTTTTTTTACTAAATAAGACGATGATGACAATCGGGTATTTATTAAGAAAGGTTAGGTATATATTTACTAAAAAGTATTCTTGTCATGTAAATGTTGTCCACGTATCACGATGATACGTTCAGCCTAACAATACTTCTAACTACATGCTCTGATCAACCTGTATTTTATATAATATTCCATTGATGTAATAATGAAAAATTTAAGCATATAATATACTTAGCTAAAATATTTTTATTCTTTTATCAGGGTATTTTGTCTAATTTCCACTATACCTATCCAATATGGTGTGCTCTAAAGAGTAAAGATAATATATCTACCTATATATTATTGTTTATTATATTATGTAAGGATGGGTACTCGTGTGTGACAGTTTTTTATACATTGGCCTGACCATCTAGTTATTACTTTGAGAAATATTATGAACGAGCTTATATAAATATAAAACAATCGAAATAATATTGCCATAGACCGGATCTAGATGTCCATCGGAAAGCGAAAACCCTCAGCAGTGCACGCGGTTGCCCCAAATCCACCTGCAACGAAGGCATCATAATCACAGGTTCTGCGGAAATAGCAAGCAGTCTAATTTACAAATTGTAACCTTAAACTTCATGGAACTCTGTTCGTTAAGTGATTTTCGTCGTCATTGTGCGTACACAAATGAGAATGTTCCCACGCGTCGGCGAAACTAAAGCCAATTACCGGGCCACGAAAATACTGTGGATTGTTTTTTCTTCTTCTTCTTCTTTTCTGCTTCTTCCGCTACCACTTCTATCCTCTCTCATATGAATTTCTTGTCCTTCGGCTCGTTTAAAACAATGCCAAACGATAAAAATGTATCAGTATATATACTATATACTTATAATAAAAAAATAACACACACCACACACGAGTTTGTAATTGAATGACTTGGGAAGTAAGGTAGCGTGATAATATTTTCGCATATTTAGTAGGTACCTATGTAGAAGATAGATCCGGAATTTATAAAGATAACGATCTCTTGGGAAAACTAAGTAAAATGGTCTCTGGTTTTCGAATCGTAAGTTGTAACGCCTGTAATGGTGCGTACGCCTACTCGCTGCTCTAGAGGAAAACAGATTCAATACATTTCTTATCCGTTTGTGCCCCCCACAAGGTTCACAAAAGATACATTGAAATTTGAAAGAAAAACGTCCCGTATAGAAGTATGATTTGATGTTTTTAACCCCGCTCGGTATTTTTCAAACAATTCAGTAACTGAGTAACCAAGTTGTTTGTCGGCACCCGAAGTCAACATATTATATGCTATTGAAGTCTACCGTATACATTATATACCAAGTATATACACGCAATAGCAGTCCTTTATACATCAGAAATCGTCATATCAAATTTCTTCAATACAAAATAATTCAGAGGGAGGATAAAAAAAAAATGTACCTATTGAATCGCCGATACACACACCGAAATCGTACGATAAACGAAAACATTCGATTTAAAATGATAAAATAAATATAAAATTCTTAAGCCCTGGTTGCCTATAAAAGAATATTAGGAATACCCACTGCGTGTATAGAAGTGAAAGAATTCTCGTAATTCTATAACGTTCTAACATTAAATAATTTAAACTCTTTCCGTGACCGTTTATAACTATATAATATAATATATTATTATATATACGTAACATATCGATATTATACATGTAATACAACTTTATATATTATGTTTTGTAATAATGGGCCGTGGGGCGACGATCATAAATCTTGTATTGCGTAAACAACTCACAATCGGGCGCAGGGTATTAAAAGGTTGATAACAATCTGTGCAATGTAATGGTTGCAGGTCGGGAGAACAAAAAAAAGAGTAAATAGTAACGAAAGGTCAATCGCAACGATGCAACAGTGAGACGTCGATCGCGGGAGGGTGCACGATACGCTACCCCTCGTATATATATACACATAGTATATATGGATTATATGTACCTGCGAACACGTACCGACCAGGACCACCCAGACTGGGCGCGGTGCTATGTACACGATATAATAAATAAAACAGTGGTTTTTCTCGATATTCTATTAATCCTCATTTGTTATGCGCAGTCTCGTACAAGAAACAAGTGGTAAAAACTGAACGTAATGATCATAAAATACTAGGTTCTAGGTAGTATACTACTTTAAGTAGAAAAAACAAGACGAAAATAACCCCTCCTAACCTCGTTTTGGGATCCTTGAGCCGGACGCTGGACCGGGTCCTGCTGGAGAACATGGCGGCCGCCACTATTTTTTCCTTTTCGGTGACTCTCCGGACATGAGACTCTACAGACGACAAAATAGTAGGTATATGTTATGCACACCGAAACTAAATCACACACGCCACATAAACACACTTATACTATAAATTAATTTACATATAAATCACAAAAATAAACCGGCCACAAAATTATAATAATAATGCAGAAATGATGCTTTAGAGACTTAACGAATCGGTATGCACAGGACACGCGCGCACTCGCACCGCACACGACAGGACGCTTAGTGTTCCGGCCAAGAACTGCCGGTGCGCCTTCACGGGAACCGGTTAGTCCGCGGAGGCGGCAGCGGCGGTAGTCCGGGGCAACGGGGCAACAAAAGACTGCGACGGCGATGCAGCATCTCTTTACGCCCACTCCTGACGACCCGCACCACCGACCAACGACGTAATTATTGTTATTATTATTATTTTTTCGTCTTTATTTCTGTGCGGTCAAGATGAGACATTGCAATGACCAATGTAGAGAATTTACGTGTAGATGTTTCATTTTAATATAAAATATGTATTTTTTTATTTAGTTTAGTCTATCAACTCTTCCGATGTCCTATGTTACTATACTATAACATCTAGACTGACCGCGTCAAACAAGACATTATAATAATATGTTGAATTCAATATGTTCAATATTTCTTATACATATATGTACGTATACGTGTGTGAAGTAAATTTAAGTTCTGCATACTGTATACAATTTATTGAAAAACAATAAACAAGTATGATGGTCGGTTAATCTAACAAAAAAGTTATTATTAATTATTACATAGCAAAATTTCATGTGAGATTTCAGAATTTCTTCTTATCTCCTTACATATAGGCCAAAAAACAAAAAACATTCCAAAAATTTCTTTTTCTTTAAAAAAATATCTTTGTGTCAACAGCTATTGTTAATTCATCTTAAAATGGTAACTACAGTACTTAAACTGGTATTGCCAAAATATAAGTACATTAGTGTTAATAAAACCCAAAAAGTAAACAGGCGATGATGGCGTAATGAAGGTGGGTAGAGATCATTATAATTTATAGTAYGTATACGCACGTTTGTAATCAATGTAATATACTTATGTATTATGACCAAGTGGAATATATGCGGTAAAATATATTGTTACAAAAATTGCATGATTAAAACTAAAATTATATTAATTTGTGTAAGAATATATATTAATATCTTTAGGTAGCTAACTAGGTAAGTATGTCAAGTTTAAGTCTTTAAATCTTAGAAGTAAAATTTGTTTGATAGTAGGTGGATAATTTTTCAAAACGTTAGTATTTACTTTTGCCATCATATATAGGTATCTATCACAATGATTCACAATAATAATATATATCTTTAAAAGTCTAGTTAGAGTGGGCCGAAAAGTGTACATTTTACCAACGTAAAACAAAAAATATGTTACAATACTATCTAAACAAAATATAATATAGATAAATACGCATTATAATTATTGCGTGCAATATGTATATAGTTACTCGTTTTTGTCTGAATGGTGGGCGAATTAAAATAATATTATCAACCATATTCTATGTTATGTTTATTCATTTCGCAAACCGTATAATACAAGAATCTTAATAGATCATTGTTTTTTCACTTGTCTAATTAATTTTTTTCATTTAGTTTTAGGAAACATCGGTGAGCGTCAGACAAGCGGACACATGTTATATCTACAATTATTACGTTTTTAGGTCAAAGTGTGAAACATTGATTCGTTTTTAATTCTCCTGTAGCCTTATTGCAATATACCTACTCTAGTCTATATAATTACTTATAATATATTACATTCTGAATTCCTATTATTATCGAGAGATACATATCTATGTCACAATGCGTTGTGCTATAGGGTAACGAGTTAAAATTGTATTTTATTAAAAAATATAAAACATAACCCTAAATACCAATCAATTAGTAAACATTTGCTGTTTCATATTATGTWGGTACCTACCAGCATAAGTAATGCATAGGACAAACTGCAGTCGATATCCAATTAGAATTTATGTTTCTACTTTATATTATATATTATACTTTATTATATGTATAACCGGTTATTTTTGCCGCCTAAGGACTAATAAATACTATCGACTAATTGACTGATAAAATATTTATAACAAAATATATTTGTTTGATATATAACGTATAATAATATCGTATAAAATAGTAGCATTCGTGTATCGTGTTATTAAATCTCTTTCGCCTTTGTGGATGATCGAAAAACATCAATGTCAACGAAATCAGAAAAACACATTTAATTAAACGCACACACTGTAGTTTTTCGTACATATACTATATTATATTCTGTATCGACAAAGTAATAAAATGTTTATAAAACACTTGATGAGTCGTGTGTATGCCACGATTTTATACCTACGTAAATGTCCGTAAAGAAGAAATGAACTATTTGAACAACACAATAAATTAAGAATAAGTCAGTCATTCTGACATGCACAATTTAAAGTTATTATTGTTACGGTTTAAAGAAACTCAGTGTTCGAAACAAAAGATGTTTTATCGTTTATACGAGCACGGAAAACACTGATATATAATACTGGTGTATTAAACTATACTATGCAATATAAAATATTGTACTGAAACTTACAAAACAAAATTGAAATAATGTATAAAGACTCAACGAGACGTGTATTCGTATGGGCGATTACACCTTTTTACCATTTTTAACACACAATGTCAACTACACGCCTCAACGGGTAGATATAGTATAATATTAAAACATAGTAATTTGTTTCACTTTGCAGTTTGTCTAATTCTTTTCATATAAAATCCTGTTAAAGCCAAGGGCGTAGGTATAAATAATATTATTTTCCCCTTCTGGAGAAATTTTTTTTTTAGAATTTTTACCAACGCTAATTTTATTTTATCAAATTCTATTGCATTTAACATTATGCTAATTCTATATAATCAGACTTCAACAATAACCATACATTTTTCAATTCATCCCCCCACGCCATAAATTTGAGGTTGTCCTTGTTTGTACTTATAAATACATTAAATATATATACACAGTACACACATACTCGTGGCTATATAATATATACGTATATACTATCCAGCTTCATTACTTCGTCAGTTAGCAGTGGCGTACCTGTGGGGGGGGGGGCAACAGGGGCATTTGCCCTCCACCCCGAGAAGTTTTTTGATGTCATAATGCAAATTCATTGTCCAGCTTAAATAATGTAAATAATAAATATTTTTAATTTTCACTRATTTTAATCGTGTTTGATATCAAAAGTTTTTGATATCACTTATCAATGTATTATAAAATATTGAT